ACACACACACACACACACACGCACTCCGGCCCCCAGAATCTTCCCAGGACTGGCATCTTTATGGAGCTCTTACCCCTTGTCCCCCCATCTTCATCTGTAAAATGGTCATCTTAGCCACACTTTACATCCTTTTTCTTGCACACAGCCACCAACTTACACATCCCTCATGGCACAGCTTTCTCTACCTTTGGAAATGACAACGAATTAATCTACTTTTTCTTTTAGTAGAAACCCCTTGCAATCACCCTGGCGGTGATTAAGAGGGTCAGGTCTGGAATCAGACTGCCTGGGTTGGAACCCAAGCTTTCCTAGTCATTAACTAAGAAAGCATATTAATTCCTCTGAGCTCTGTTTCCTCACTTTTTAAAAAATAAGTATGTTTGTTTGTTTGTTTGTTTGTTTATAGAGCACAAACAGGGGAGAGGCAGAGAGAGAGAGAGAGAGAATCCCGAGCAGGGATTCAGAGTAGAGCCTGACGCGGGGCTCGAACCCACAAACTGTGAGATCATGACCTGAGCCGAATCAAGTCGGATGCTTAACCGACTGATCCACCCAGGTGCCCCTGTTCCCTCATTTAAAAAATGAAAAACAATAAACAGTATTTTTCTCACATATCTGGCAGATGCTATTTTTTGAAGGTAAGATTTGTTTAGGGGTCACTGCTTCTGCCCCTTGCTGCCTTTTCTCCATCACCCATACCCCATTCTCTCATCGTGCTGCTTGTCAACACAAGGCATCTGGAAGGGGTGGTGACATCAGTCATGTACGCTTTGGGGGGGGGGGTGGTTAATCTGCTGTGTCTCTTCCCAGGGCCATTTTTCCTTGCAGCCTCATTTGCAATCACAGATGGGAGGTGCAGACCATCTGCTAATGGGAATTAGGTCACGGATGGTCAGATGAGGGAGGCACTGGAGAGGGGCACTCCTCATACCTGTAGTGTCCCACCAAATAGATAACCATCTTCCAGTCATCCTTGCTTTTTTCCGTCACGTGTTGGCTTGGTGGGGGAGAGGAAGTGTTGGCACCTGGAGGAGGTTTGATAGAAGGCATTCCTGGGTGACTTCATCTCTGGGCCTTGCCTCTCAAAATTCCAGCCAAATCAGTTCTACCGTTTAAGGGATGGAAGCAGGGTCAGCATTCCAGAAGTTCCTTGTCATACCCAGGCTTTTAATCAGATGATACTGGAGAATTAGCATCCTAGTGCAGGCAGTTGTGAGAGGGTGGGGAGGGGTCTCAAAGGTCCCTGCTGCATGCTTGTCTTTCCGGCCAGACCTGGGTTGAGGAGAACGAGACCTCTTGGTTGAGTTTGCTCAGAACCATCAGAACCACGGACAGCGGTCAGGGTGCCCCGAAGACCTGCAGCGGCGCAGGGTGCAGAGAGCCGAGCCCGTGCCGAGTTACAGGCAGGCGAGGGGAGGGAAGACGTGCTCCGGTTGCGGGGGGTTGGCTGGGACTGTTCTGGCTCTGAGTCACCCCGTGCGCCCCGCACTTGCGTCGTGGGGCCTCGGAACGCTGGAGTTGTGTCTGCCCTCTCCGAGAATGGTTGGGGGTGGGGAGGAGAGGCCCTGGGAGTTTTGCAGGAAAGGAGGCAGCGCGAGGCGAAGGACCTGTTGGTGTCCCCCGCGCGCTCCCGCCCCCCGGCCGGGCCCATTGCTATACAAGGCCTGCTCTCCCCAGCATCCACCCCCAGCGAGTATGGTCGCAGGCGCGGAGGGG